ACGGTGTTCTGATTGTCTGTGTGCTTAGAAAGCTAATCTTGCCTCGCAAATCGAGATCTTAACTGCGCAGCCCTCGCGAACGAGAGTCGGCATGGCGGTCGCGGGGCGGCAGAATGCCACCATCGGTTTGCGAAACGGGATGCCGTCTGCTGTCGCCGTTCTCTGCGGTGGGCAAGGGTCGCGAGGACGTCGAGATGCGCGGCGCGTTGGTGTCGATCCGTCTCTGCGACCTGCGTGCAGCTCTGGCAGCGTCAGCATCAGCGTCAGCAGCGCTCGGCCTGGTCAAGCCAGGTCGCTGTCGATTCGACTTGCTAGTCTCGACGGCGGAATCTCTGGTCGAAGCTTTGGTGCCGTCGCGAGGAGCGTGCCTCGTCTTTGAAGCAACGACGGGTGTGGGCGCTGGTCTCCGTGCTGCTGGCACCGGTGCTGCCAGCTGCGGCGATGCGAACGGCTTGGACCCCAGAGGCGCTCTGTGATCTAGCGTCCCGGGCGCGCCGGTCACGATGATGACTCGGTCGGGGCCCGAAGCACGCACGGCCTGGAACGAGTCGCGACGTGCATCCGTCGCCAGCGGATAGGCGCCCTTGGCGGGGCGTCGATCTCTCGTCGAGTGAGCGCGTGGTTCCTCGACGTTTTGTAGCGTGGCCGTGGACGAGTTCCAATTGCGCGCTTCTTGCTCCGCCTTCGACAGACTGCGCGAATGCTTGGGTTTCGTGGCCCGTGGCTCGGGCCTGGCTGGGGCGGGCGTTGCGAGCGACTTGCGGCTGCTATGAGCGGCCGCGTCGCTGCCGCGCTCGACGCTTCGGCCCTTCCGAAGGGAGCTGGCTGGCGATTGGAACGAGACGTGGCGCGCGTGACGAGACCGAGCCGACGTGCTTTGCTTCGACTCTTCCGGCGCCTCGTGCGCGTCGAAGAATCGATCTTTCTGTGGCGACCGCATCGCCGAACTCAATTGCTGGGGCCGCGCATCGTCTCGGATGTTCGACCTGGACCTGTCCATGGATGACCGCGCATGGCTGCGCACGGCTGCTTCGAAGGCGGCAGCTCCGCTCATCCGTGGCGCTGGAGCATTGGCGGCGGTGTCTCTGCGGTTTGCCTCTCGGGACAGGGAAGCTCTCGCGGCTGCAGTCGAGCCCTGTGATGTTGACGGCTGTACGGTACGGCCTTCAACTCCCTGTGATGCTCCCTGCTTGAGGTTGTTGGTGCCGCGTCCGAGGAGCACAGAGAAGAAGCCGAGACTCTCCTTTGGCGTCTCACGAGACATTGCGTTAGGCGGAAGGGGTGGGGCTGCGAGAGCCATCGAGCCTGCTGTCCACGAGTCCGGGACCGAGTGAAGCCGGAAGTTGTCGTGTGCCGTTCACCCTTTCTGACTCTGCCTGTGGACGCCTGTCGCGCGACCTTGATCGTGTAGGGTGCAGCGGAAGTTGTGAGGGACCGGCGCGGGAGATGATGGTTGTCGATGGAAGGGATGCGAGCACGAGCGTTGGCAGGGCGGATCTCAGGCTCGGCCTCTGCGGGCAAGCAAACGCAGCAAATTACAAGGCGGCTTGCTTCTGCATGAAGCCTGGCGCTCGGCAAGCGGCGCCCATACCAATCGCCAAGACTCACTCGCTAGGGATGAGCAGGGTATCCTTGGCATCGCGTGCCTATTCAAGATCAATTCAGGGTCGTATCGATCCCACAGCGGACGACGACAACTACCTCGGCGGACGGGCTGTGGGAAGCTTTGCGCGCGAGAAGGTCGCGGGCATATTTGCAAATTCGCTCCGCTCGCGATCCACCTTGCCCAGCCGATGCCCTGTCCGGGCGCGCACGTTGGAAGCTCGCGATTTTGGGTCACTTTCGAACCCAGGATCGTAGCTTATGCCTGTTCTGGCTCGGCCCGGCGGCTGTTGCAGGCTGAAACTGCGCCTTGCTCGCGCCGATGAGCCAGGCTAGTCTAAGATGGGTCGGAGGCACTGGCTGTGTCGCGCGGGGCAAAGTGCTACAGCAAAGCAGACAGATGCATCCCACGCAGCGGGCGAGCTCTAAACTACGGAGAGGCGGGGAATGCTGGCTCGTCGCCCGTTTGTACAGAGCTCACCCCGGAGCGGGCCCTTGTGGATCGCAGACTGGCATGCCGGCCCCCGAGATGCACAGTGACGCAGCCAAGCGGGCCTCCTCTAATTTTGGCGCGTTCGATCCTGGTTGGACCGATCGGGCACCTCCAGCCCAACTTGTGCGGAGATGAAATTTAGACTTCAGGACGCCGCACCGCCGCAGCGGGCAAGTGCAGGACAATTCCGCGCTCTAACACGAATCTGCATCACGCAAGGTCGACTTCGATGAAGGCCTGGTGCTGTTGCAGGAGACCGCAGAAAGGTCAATGCTCGAACATCACCACCTCCATTGGCCATGATCGTGTGTGAGAAGACCTAGTTGCGGACCGCTCTCGAAAGCGACCGCGGAGGCGGGAGGCGACGATTTTTTCGGACCGACTTACTGCGCCATTATTCTTTTTCTTTTTTGCGAGCACGTTGGTCCATGGCCCCTGCTTCGCGGCATCATGGCTGCTGGCATGCGAAAAGCGACGGTTAGATCGACCCGATCGTGAAAGGCGGCGAACAACCGAACAGTGGTGCTTGCCGAAGAGTCGTATCGGATCCGAGAACTCGTGTTCTCGAGCGACAAGGCGGGTCGACAGGCGCATGGACGGGCAAAGATTGTACCGGGCGGGCAGGGAGCTGGTCATTTACATGGCAGCCACGTGACGGGATCGCGCATGCGCGTCTCCCTGCCCGCTAGCCTCGGCAAAAGTGTTCCAGGAGCGCAAAGCCGAGCGGAAATCACAAGATGGACCCTGAGACACGTCCAACCAACACTTTTCGCCCGGTCCGTGGGAGCAAGGTACCGAACAGCGGACTTGGTCTCCCTGAAGTCCATCTGGCTAGCACATGGTTCTGGCGGCGCAATGTGACCTAGAAAGCCCGACGAGACTCTAGGATTCATCAGGCTGCACGACGTGGTGATGTGCACGGGCAGAAAGCTGTGCCGCAGCGGCAAACTCGACCTGCGAACGGGGCTGCGCGAAAAGTCGAAAAATGTGATCTTACGAAGAGAGCCGGCAAAGTGACGGCTGGGAAGAGGTGCATGTTCCCATGCAAAGCAGGCCAGACGACAACCGGGAGGCGCATGGCGAGTCCCGCAGACTGTGAATCGCCGCGTGCACCGGCTTCCCACATCGCACATCGCACGCTGCAGCGACTCGCCTCGTCTACGTCGAATGACACCATTCACGGGACCTCCCCGGCAGCTCACACACGGGTTGCCGCCGACACTGGCTCGCCCCGTGCAAGGCGTAAACGGGCGTGATCATGCGTTGGCGTCCATACAAATGTCACGCCCAAGGATGAACCGAAACATGGCGGGATGTGCGGTATCGCGCAGGTCACTCTGTCGGCATTGTCCGCCTTATCGAGTCGCCAATCAGGGTCTTGCGGGCGCATTTCATGCAGAGTCACAGTGAATTGCTCGAAACTGTCAGAGGTGATCTCTCGAGTCTCGGTAGCCCGCGTCCTCGACCATCATGCACACTGCGGCCCGACAAGACGACAAATATACCCGGCACGAGTCGTGGGACACGAGCACGCAACCATAACGCCGTCCCGAATCGAGTCTCACGATGTTGCCACGGCAAGGAATGCAACAACCAGGCGACAAGATGCAGCAGCGTGGATGGTGTAGGTCACGCTACCCGTGACGTAAGGAAGGGTCCGCGGTTGCGCGGTTGACAGCCGCAGGCATGTTTGTTGCCAATCGCATGGATGCCAGAGGCCGTTTCAGGAACGACATGAAGCGATGGGCGCCTGGACCCGTTGTCGATCCTCTTGGGATGAGGGACGTGGGCTGAGAGGCGTGGAGAGCCGTCACGCAGCACCGAGGCGAGCTCGCTAGCGCATAGCGCAAGGGGCGGAGCCGTGTAACCGATCGCTTCCCAACGAGCGGCATTGGTCGATCCCTTGGAAACTCGGCTTCGGCAGACTCTAAAGATTGCAATCTCGTGCTCTCAGCTTGCGTTCCGCGGTCCCGTTGCTCAGCGCTGATATTTTGGACGAACGTTCGTCTCGGTCGCTAGTCTCCCGCTGCTCACCCGTGCCCGTGCCCGCAAGCAACGCGTGGCCGAGTGAAAGTACAGTAAGCTGCGCGTGCCAGTTTGCAGGCAGGCGGCTCCGAATTTCCACCAGACTGGAGCTTGACACGAGGGCCCGACTCGCAACATGCTGTACCGCCCGCTGCGGCCCTGCGGTAGCTTGTCGAGAGCTCGCCTCAAGCTCCGTCGCCACCCTTGCAGACAGGCAGGCGACAAGTGATTGCACATCAGGCATCTCGGATGGAGTGGATCCCAACGTGTGCGCTGGACAGAAAGAAAGAAGCTCGCTGTTCCGATCGCATCGAATTTCGAACACAGCCTGCAAGCACGTCCGACAGCCCGAGCGCCAGCGCGTGCACGTCCCACACGTCCAGAAGCCTGCCAAGACCACTCTGGAAGCTCGAACGCCGCGAGCTCTAACTGTACTTGGCTCTGGATGTCGGGCTGCCAAACGGCCACCGCTTCGAACAAGGCTGCATGGAGATTCAAGAACAGCAACCCGAACTGCAGAACTCGCACGGAGGAAGCACAGCACGCTGGTCGGTTCTCGTGTCTTGAGCGCGGCGCCGCTCTCTGCGCTGACTTCAAACCAGAGGCTCGGATGACCCGAGATTCCGACGCATCAAGCGCACCGGCCCGAACTTGACTTTTTTTCGCGCGGCGTCTTGGCCAAGCACAGCAAGAAGAATCGCGAGCTGGATGTGCATTGCGCATCACCGCGTTGCAGAAAGTGACAATGTGATGTGATGGACCGAGAATAGGCAAGCAAAACGCAGGTCTGCGTCAGCCCTAGACGAGAGGTCGCTTGGCAGCGGCGCGATCGATGGGACTGCATTCCAGTTTTCAATAGGTTACGCGCCTCTTTCGATTCTCACGCCGGCCCTTCGATGCGCACTGAGCGAACGCGGCTGGGACGTTCGATGGCCGACGTCCTGCTGCGAACGATGTCTGGAGCGGCTGTGTCAGCGCCCTGACCTACACAAACTCGACATGCTCTCAAGGACCAAGTGGGAGCGCCACGCTCGGAACGGCCAAGGCGGCTGCGTGAGCCCTGATACCAAAGGCCGTCCTTCTAAACAGTCATTATGCACAATGGGCAGCGAGGTCTGTGCATGCTTCGAACGGCTTGATTGATCGATGCGCTGCATTGCGGGGTGGCTGCTTCAGGAGGGCAAGACGAGGGGCTAGGGGCGACCATGTTGGAGGAAGTGCAGCATCGCAAAGAGGCTTGGTATGCAGAGTCGAGCGCGGGCTCGGCTTTGGCTGCTGCTGGCCCGGCGAAGCGTGTGCTTGGTGCCCGAAGCGACGCACCGCGAGGCCAGAGCAGCGACGCAGCTTCCACTCTCCGCTCCGCTGCAGGCGTCCCTGGTCGGAATTTCCACCGAGACGAGACAAGACGCCAGCTGCAGGCCTCCGTCTGGAATTGTGGTCGTTCTTTTCACATTTTCTTTTCGTGAGATCGCTAGTGTGCTGCCTTGTGTGATGGCTCACAAATATCGAAAATGCGAATAATGGAATCGAGAGGGTCGATCCCAGAGACTTCCGCACATGCCCAGCCGAGCTCCACGAGCTCAGCGTGCTCACCGGCCGACAACAGCGGGCTGCAGCATGAATCGCCATTTCATGCATCGAGTTCGATTTTCGCAGCGTCGATTTTCGCTGCAGGCCCGCGTCTGGGGCGATGGGCCTCGGCTATGGGCGAGGAGGTGGAGGTGTTGTTGTTTGACGTTGTTGATTTTGCTGGCCGGCGATGTTTTGGTGCGTCTGTCACACGCTCGCGTGCAGTTTCCCTTTGGGCTCTGAGCTGACGCTCTTCCTCGCGAGCAAGCAAGAATAAGCGAGCAGCACGCTCTTTTGCGAAAATGTGACTTTGTGAACGAGGCTGAGACCCTGAAGCCGCTTCGGTCCGCTCCGCATCACACACAACACGCATACTCACGCATGCACGCTCTGCCTGTGCGCATCTTCAGACCCTCGGCGAGTCGCAGGCAGAGCTGTCTCAATGCCTCTTCCGTTCGAGACAGGACTGGCGTGGAGCGGACTGGACCTGATCATATGCAGCTGCCCGTGCCCTCGTGTGCCGATGGAACTGACACAAGCTCGCCGTTGTCATCGTTCTGGCGCTTGCTTAGGCTGTGATGCGATCCGTCGATCGTCCCTGCGGCTGTCCATCCGGCTTGCTCGCTCGTTCAGGAGCATCACCGGTGAGCGGAATGGAAAGTGGAAGGCGGCCAGTCGACACGATGACCGAGATGCTGTTGATGCGATGGATCCCACCATTGATGCAAATGGATGCAGTCGATGCAGCCCGTGCAGTCGGGGCAGGCGGCTGCCCGTTCGTTCTGTCGTGTTTTGTTCATTTAGCTTCGAGCCTTCTCTTTCTCCTCTCAGCCTGCCCTCTCTCCCTCTGGGCTTGCCCGCTCGTCACCGAACGGAGGCGGCAGCCCTGATGATGCATCTCTGTCGCCTTGGCTCTTACCTGTCGGGTGCTCCGTTGCTCTGCCTCGCCGGCTGGCTCTGCGCGTTGCTCTGTGTGCTGCGCTGAATCCAAACAGGCTCCGCAATCATTATTGTTTTTTTTTTGTTCCCTTTCGATGGGCCGTCCGTACCGCAACGTCAGTGCTCTGTCGATGCACGCTGCCCGAGAGCCAGGCAGCTGAGCCTGGATCCTTCTGCTTTTTCCTGCCTTTCCTGCGGCGGTGCTGCCTGGCCCGCTCGCTTTTCATTTTGCCGCCGCGGAAGCGCTTCATTGAATCGGTCGCTTGGCATCACCCAGCGGCGGCCTGGCTGTTGCTGCTCCCTCCCTCTCTCATGTCAATCTGAGACACTCGATTGTGCTCTCTCAAAGTGGTCCCGCTGGGGGGTTACTTTTGTGACGCGGTTCCGTGGTATCAAACTGTATTTTGCCTCGACAACCACGCAGGCGCATCGTCATGGTCATTGAGCAAGAGAGCAGCACAGACGACGCTCTATCTGTCTATGATCGACCTCGGAGAGCTGTCGGAACAGGACGACGGCTTGGCTAGGGCAAAGAGCTGTGTAGCGGCGGCGAACTGGCTGAGGGCCGGCTCCCCTGCAACGGCTGAGTGGGTGTGAGCGAGTGCATGTTTTTTTTTTTTTTTTTTT